GCCCAGCCGCCGTCCCGCCTCTAGCCAGGCTGTGCTCCCCCACGCTCCGCTCAGCGCGTCTCCTTCCACAATCCGTGGCTTGGCCATTTTTAAAAACGGCTCTGCAATGCCACGCCGATGTGGCACCGCCCCCTCCAGTGCGCTGCGCGTGACCCCACCCCTGGTGCAGCCCCGACCTCTCCCGACGCTGCTGCCTGGGTTGACAGCTTCCCTTCCCCTGGCCCGGTACCTTCCCCAGCCTGGGTCAGCTTGCCGGCCTCCTTGCCGGCGCTGCTCCCGGCTCCGGTGCAGGGGTGCAGAGTCCAGTGGCTCCGTCCCACCGGGCCAGTCCACCTCTGCATTAGGGTGTGCCTAAGCACACCCTGTGCGCACGCCTATGGATTTACATTTGTCCCATTAGGTTTAACTCAATTGCTTCAAACAAATGCTCTGGATAAGTTAGGATAACTCTATGTTAACCGGGAAGGAATGAACAAATACTCAAACTATCTTACCCATTACCAAGATAGCTTCCCCAATTATCACCTCTAATACCATTAGCTCACAGACATCTAACTCTCCCCACCTCTAATATCATCAATTCACAGACACTTACCTTCCTTCCTTCCCCGCCCCCCTGCATCCTCCTCCTGTTCTGAAATGTGATTTGTCCTTTTCATGTGTGTTCATTTTTTTTCAATTGTATCCTTTGGTATATATGGCTGTGACTATTTTCTTCCACTATTTCATCTGAGGAAGTGGGTCTGGCCCACGAAAGCTCATCATCTAATAAACCATCTTGTTAGTCTTTAAAGTGCTACATAGTCCTGTATTTTGTTTCTTCTATGTTAAACTTTACATTAACACACAATATTTCAGTCAAGAAGAGGGAGGAGCCTGCTTAGAAAAATGGTAATCCATGCTCTACCTGACTAGTTTTAGAAAAAACTAACTAGCTAAAATTGATGATATTTTTCATGTTTCATAGAAGTTACTACTTTATAAAATATTTGCTGCTGAGAAATCAGGAATTCAAGATAATATTTTCAGACCTAGAGCTCCAATCCAGTAAATAGGAGTAAATTTACGCACTTGAGTAAAGTTATCCATGTGCTTAAATACTTTGCTGAAGTAAGGCCCAAGAGTATATACTTTATCACTAAGAGAATCAATTGCACATTGAATAAAGAATTCTCACAGTGCCCAGTAGCTCACCTGTAGTGATGTTACAGTAGACAGATCTTTAAGTTTCCCTTCTTCATCTTTTAAGTTGTATCCCTCTGGTCTCTTATCTCGTTCAGTAATTTTCCATAATTTGATAGTTTTATCTTTTAATAAAAGAAACCAAAGTTACTATTAGCCAGGAGATTTTGAACTCTGTTACTCACTTTTAAAATAATAAATATTTCCAAAACAGAGCACTCATCTAAACACAATTTTGCAACTCAGACCTATTTTTCTAACTGCAAAATTGCTGACTCACAAGGGATTTATTGAACCTACAAGTAGCTCAACCTCAGGCTATTTTTGCCTGCTAACAAAATGAGCAGAAACTGCTCTCATAACCCTGCTCAGCACTTAATAGGGGATGTGGACCAAAACTGTCCACAGTACAAGACATGCCCTTGAACCTATGTCTCTGCCTATGAAAGATACACAACAATGGAACTTGGGCCAGTTTGCTAAGATATTCAGAAGAAATTCCATAAAAGTACTGGGTGGATGAGTTGTCTAGTTGATGAACGGACAAGAATAGGCAAAAACTTATCTTAATCTCAAAGGCTCATGCAGAGTAAAGACCAGGGAAGAACAGAGACTGCATTTAGGAATTCTCTCTCTCCAAGAGACAGGCATGGACAGGAGAGCAGCAGCAAGGAGATACAGAGAGAGATATTCTAAAGAAGAGGTGTCACGCTGGAAGGGGTAGGAGGCTGAGGAGTGGGGAACAGGAAAGACAGTAATGTTCTGGGAGTTGATAACCATTTCAATCCTTCCTTTGAAATGCATTGGCTGGGTGCATATGAATTTTGTACTGGCTTCTAGTGCCTGGCTCCTACCACTCCGGGACCTATCGCTAATGTCAGCTGAGGAACTCTTTCTTCAGTTCAAGTGGTAGAGGCGTATACTCTTTTTTGAAGTGGAGGGATCAGGGCACTGAGCTGAGCTCCCAATGGACTTGTCTTCACTACAGAGAAGATCGACACTGCTGCAGGCAGTTGATCTTCCGGGGTTCGAATTAGTGGGTCAAGTGAAGACCACTAATTCAAAGTGAGAGGGCACCCCTGTCAGCACTGGTAGTCCTCCTCCTACGAGGAGTAAGGGAAGTTGATGGGAGCACGTGCTCCCGTCGACTTCCTCCTGTGTGGACAGTGCCAAAACAAAATTTAAGATACTTCGACTCCAGATACATATTTAACGTAACTGGAGTTGCATATCTTACGTTGACTTTCCCCTTTAGTATAGACCAGGCCTCTGAATATGATCTAATAGTGTCTGTTGAAATGCCCAAATTCATTGTATGCTTACAAAGAGTACTGCTGGTGTGACAAAATCTGCCAGGACCAATATGGCAGCATTAAAGAGAGACAAAATAGGACAGACTTTAAAGGGCACTGCCAAACCATGTACTGTACAATGAAGCTTTGAACTGCACAGTCCCTTAAAGGAATACAATCTGATAGGAGAAAAGTGGCCATATTTCATTTCTATAGCATGTTTTACTCTGAAAATTCCTTGCCTTAAAATCAGTTAACCCACCTCTCCCAGAAAACAAATTGCATTAATTATGGCTATGATGTAGCTTATATAAAGGTTTTGATTCACCCTCTAACCTTCATGCAATAAAAATTCTAATACTGAACAGTTACAATCTATGGCTTTAGTTATACCAACCTATAGCTGAGCAGCTTACTTAGTTAACATCAAATATGTTATACTCTTGAGTTTCCTTTTTGCAATTTAGTTTGCTTTATGGCTTATAGACACATTTATTATGAAGTGTACAGTTCAATACGAATTCTTATCGAACTACCAATCTATTCATACATTTAAAAAAAAAGTAATGATGCTATCAAGCCAACTTTTCGCTATTAAAGTCAATGCATACTATACGAAGAAACAACATTAGATGCATCTCATGGTAGTATTTGACCTCTATCGATTAGAACCTCAATTTTTTGCAGGAAAACTTATTTGTCCAATGGTTATATTGACCATATTTGCTGATTGTCTTCATCCTGTATATGCCCTCTGGACTCTTAAATATTTAAAGTGTTAAAATGCTTTGAAAAGGGACTGTAGAAATGGCCACTGTGACGTTCCATATTCATTGAGTCTCAGGGGTGTTATGAAGCTTAAATTAATTAGTGTCTGGAAAGTAATTTGAAACCCTCAGATGAAAGGCTTTACATAGACAAATTCTGAGCTATATGATATAACTTAGTCAGAAACTGGGCCTCTCAGTGAAAACAATTATCAATGAATCATAATGATTTATTATTATAATATCTAATTAGCTCAGTTTACAAGTCAAACTTCAATTTTGCTGACTGCAGGCACTGCAAGTCCACACTGGGACTGAAAGTCGCAGTGGGGTCCATCTGCCTCCATTAATAAAGATGTGGCAATCAGAACATAGCTGAAAAATTTGCTGGTGGTGTGAACTGGAAGGAATCCAACTCTCTCCCCCACAGGTGTTAGCCGCAGCAGGTCTTGCTGTACTGAAAACTGGTTTCTGTTAGAAGCAAGTATTAAACACATGGGGCCAAATTCAGACCTCAGATCTCTGGGCACGCCTTCCATTTAATTTGGTGGGAGCTGTACATCTCTGTATCTGTGGGTAGAATTTGCTCTATGGGAAAAGATCTGCTGCATAATTCGTTTCCATTTTTATACACTCACTTTTCTGACCCCAACCATGCTTTTGATTTTAACCCTAATTTCTAGATCTGCCTTATTCTAATTCTGCATCCAAATAGAGGATTCAGGGAAAAAAAAGTTTGAACAATAACCAATTGCTATTAATCTAAGATAGTTACACGAACCTCACTATAGTAGTACCTGAATACTTCACAACTATTGTTCCCCTCTAATCTTTCCCATCCAGGTACGGATTTTTTTCAGCTATGTGCAGAATAAATGTTGTGTGTGCCAAGACACGCGTGAATGTGCACTACCAGTAGAAACAAAAATCTACTAATCTGCTCTACTAATGGGCTGGGTGCCATTAAACCAGTTACAAGGCAAGCCGACTGGGAAACATTGATCAGTATTAGACATTAATGTTCTGCTCTGTGCATATTGTTTTACTGACCTTGCCTTAAAAGGCACTTCTTTTCTGAAAAGCAATTGTCTAAATGTGGTATTATGATGTTCAATGTTATTATCTGACAGTGATTTCTAAATTTGCTCAGTTTTCCAAGTACAACATTTTTTACATAAGAGTGCTCTCAACTTAATCTGGCATCTGGAATCAAACTGGCTTTACCCACGCCATGCATACTTAACATTAATGAAGGTCCTTGAGGTCAAATTATGTCCTCTGACACCTGTGCAACTGTGTGCTTTCAAATCATTCCCACAGTGACACCTTTGCAAACCCTTAATTAGCTTTTATATGTCATTTTTCATCTGAAGATTCTAAGTGTTTTGCAAAGACGATGTCAGTAGCTCTCTATTGTACAAACCCAAATGTAGCTATTTGGAACGTTGTAAAAAATTCTGTTGATAGTGTATTAGAAATAAAAGTAATCCATCTCTCAGATGAATTGGTTCTAAAGGGCCAATGGGAGAAAAAAAGCATTAAACCCCTTATTTTGTTTACTTATGTCAGCAGATATAGTTCTGCATACACAGACAAAGCATAGTTATTGAGTAAGACTGTCCCATTTTCACATATTTCCTTTTCAGACCAGAACTGCAAATTACTAGCAAAAGTGGCTAGGTCCCTAATTAGAGCTGAACAAATGATTTTTCTATTTGATCACTGAAAAATTTCACCACTCACCATCCCTAAATGCCTCATGAACACTCAGATAGGAATCCTCTGTGAATGTGAATAAAACTTACAAATAGTGAATAGCACATCCACGTAACACATTTTCTTAGTACATTCTGAAACTGAAAAATACTGAAAGTGAAATGTAATTTTAAACAAGATTGGGAAATAGTGGGCAAGAATGACTAGCAGCACTGGAATGGGCCAGAGCAAAATGTTGACACTTCCTGTGCTGGTTCTTCTATCTTACCATTTGTTGACAGAAGGGAGTGGGCTGCATTCTGCTGTGGTAGCCATTTGATCTTGTTTATTTTTTCCTCTATCTCCAAGCTCTTCAAATAATCAAATTCAGGCTCATGGCTCTGGAACGTGCTGTAAACATTGTATTCCCCCTGACTGTAAGGCTCATTTTTACTCTGTGAAGAACATGGAGAAACAATAACGTGTCTGATGATGCCAGTATTTTATCTCCAGCTTCTGAGATGACTGGAGTAAGCTAGTAGTCACAAGAAATGTAACAATTCTAAAAATATTATTTCATTTTAAGTTTAAAACATGCTATTGACAGATTGCTTTCATTGCGACAAAATAGTTTCCCACAGGCATTAAAATTCATTTCAATATCCAGACAAAAGTATTTTGTTAAGAGCATTAAGAATGCAAAAGAGGAATTACTTCAGTAAAAATATCATAAATATGTAATGCTTATTAAAAAATCATGTCCAACAATCTGGGAAGTCAGTATTTAATTTTAACAAACAGACTTAACTCTGACCATTTCCTGAATCCCTGGGAAATGTTTAGCCACACCTCATAACTTCTCTGCATTCCATCTCTACATGCCCCAGGGTAATATCCCATACTCTTCATACTAATGTACACGCAATGTTCTTCCAGAGAGGAGCCAGAACCCTCCTCCAATCCATCCTCCTTTTATCATCTTGCTGCACATACCTTACCTCTCAACATTCAGGTACAAACCAAAGAATGACCTGTCCTCGCCCCTTCCAGGGCCCTACTACTGTCAAAAGACCACAATACTTTCACAGTCTATCCACAACACAGAAGGTCTGATTCTTATGAAAACTCTCTGGTAAAGGGATTGCAAAGTGGGTGTAAAAAGGTGAAAATCAGGACAATTTTCCCCTAGCCATCTTTTACTACTTTCCGAATAAGCTGCCAAACAAGTAACAAATACAGATCTTTTCAATCCATCCTGTCGCTGCCGAGCATACAGGCTACAATACCTGACTGATTCTCCTTCTCAGTGTGCATATAGTTTCCTCTTTAATCCCATCCACTGACCAAATACTGGTGGAGATGACAGTGTAAAGCATTCTCCAAATCAATACAGGAGAATGCTATGACACTACTTATTCCGTATGTACACTACAAATGAAGGGGAGCAGAATTTAGAACATAAGAACATAAAAACATAAGAACATAAGAACGGCCATACTGGGTCAGACCAAAGGTCCATCTAGCCCAGTATCCTGTCTGCCGACAGTGGCCAGCACCAGGTGCCCCAGAGAGGATGGACCGAAGACAATGATCAAGCGATTTGTCTCCTGCCATCCCTCTCCTTTAAACTCTATTATAGTCCTAGCCTTCACAGCCTCCTCTGGCAAGGAGTTCCACAGGTTGACAACACGCTGTGTGAAGAAGAACTTCCTTTTATTAGTTTTAAACCTGCTACCCATTAATTTCATTTGGTGTCCTCTAGTTCTTCTATTATGGGAACTAATAAATAACTTTTCTTTATCAGCCCTCTCCACACCACTCATGATTTTATAGACCTCTATCATATCCCCCCTCAGTCTCCTCTTTTCTAAACTGAAAAGTCCCAGTCGCTTTAACCTCTCCTCATATGGGACCCGTTCCAAACCCCTAATCATTTTAGTTGCCCTTTTCTGAACCCTTTCCAAGGCCAAAATATCTTTTTTGAGGTGAGGAGACCACATCTGTACACAGTATTCAAGATGTGGGCGTACCATAGTTTTATACAGGGGCAGTAAGATATTCTGGGTCTTATTTTCTATCCCTTTCCTAATAATTCCTAGCATCTTATTTGCCTTTTTGACCTCCGCTGCACTCTGTGTGGAAGTTTTCAGAGAACTGTCCACGATAACTCCAAGATCCCTTTTCTGATTTGTTGTAGCCAAATTAGCCCCCATCATACTGTACGTATAGTTGGGGTTATTTTTCCCGATGTGCATTACTTTGCATTTATCCACATTAAATTTCATTTGCCATTTTGTTGCCCAATCACTCAGTTTGGTGAGATCTTCTTGGAGTCCCTCACAGTCTGCTTCTGTCTTGACTATCCTAAACAGTTTGGTATCATCTGCAAACTTTACTACGTCACTGCTTACCCCTTTCTCCAGATCATTTATGAATAAGTTGAAAAGGATTGGTCCCAGGACTGACCCTTGGGGTACACCACTAGTTACCCCTCTCCAATCTGAAAATTTACCATTTATTCCTACCCATTGTTTCCACAATGGAGCAATTAACAGAATGACGCTCCACCTCCTGCCCCTCTCAAAATAGGTAACATTCAATTTTCATTATTCTTGATAGATTCAAAAAAAATACATTAGAGCTCAGCAGTTTGTACAAGAAAAAAAAACTTAGCTAGCAATTATGACTGGAAGCAGTAACAAACATACCTCAGGTTCCCTTTGGAATATAACAACCCGACCTCCCTTGTCCCCGGTAGCCAGTAATTCTCCAGTGTGATTGAACTCAACTGTAGAAATAATATCAGCTGCAAAGAAAAAGTGAGAAAAGGCAAACCATTAGAAATGTCAAGTGCTCCATAAAAATACAGGAAATGAGGGACTCAAAAGATACACAGAGGAATGCAATAGCAAGCTACCCATTTAAAAGTCTGCCTGCCATTAAAATCTGACAACTGAACCAACTGTAGATGTAGAGGCGAGATCATGATTTAAGATACTGCCTGCATTTTGAGAATGGAGGTATGCATCAAGAAAAGCACAGTGTCTCTAGCAATGCAGAGGTAGCACAGAGAGACTCAGCTCTGTCTCACAAATTATATTCTCCACCTTCTGAGGCTTTTAGCATTTCTAGAAGCACTAGAATCCCCCTGTCCTCAGATGCCAGGAGAGCTAGTGTCTAGTCCTTCCACAGAAGCACAAATACAGGGTTAAGTCTCCTTATGTCGTTTGCACACTGTGCACTGCAAGACAGTCTGTTCACATGTGGAGATTTTGGCAGATCATTTCAACGCCTTAAAAACAGATCACAAGACATTTTCAAAACACAATTTTTTGTTTGTTTTTTAAATAAAGAACCATGCAAAAAAAATTTTGAGGTGATGTGAAAGTGATCAAAACAGCAGGTCGGCCTGTTTTACAAAATACTGTGAAGTTGAAATGAAAGGCGAGAAAGAGCTAGAAAGCAGAAAGAACAAATTATTTCACTTGCATGAAAATAAATGCTAGAATCATAACCTGCAGTTAATCCTCATTATCATAATTTAAATTAAAATGCTTAATATCACGGTAAATTAGAGATCCATCATATATAGAAAGTTATAGTCAAATATAGGATATTATCCACATATGTGTTTTGGTTTACTGTAATTATCAACATTCAGTGCTCAGAGATATGGGACAGATTTTTAAGAAGTGCTTAGCAATCAACTGCTCCCATTTAGTCACCTAAAGAAGTAGCCAGATTTCCAAATGAGCCCAGAATCCATCAGCTCACATTGTGAACAGTGGGAGTTAGTAGCAGCTGAGCCGTACTGAAAATCTGGTCACCCTTTAAGTGCCTAATCGGGATATGTAACCTGCTCTTTGGAAAATCTGGCCCTAAGTGTATTCACTAAAAATGTATCTGATGCACTTTATGAATTAAAAACATCTGCTCCCGTTATTTTTTTACTGATCCAGCCCCAAATTTCAGAAAGCATCTGTCTCCAGCAGCTCTCCATATGAGCTATCAAAAAGCTAGTTATAGGGGGTGAGGAATTATATAGTTACTAATTTAAAAAGAAAATCTTGTCCTAGAACGGAGAAAGAGAAATTGTATTTAAAGACAAACGCTCAATATAGTGCTTTTTAAAAAACTGGATATACGATGGACTCTATTATGGTCTTTCAATTTGAGCCTATGTCTGTAAGTGTCACTATTTCATAGACTTCAGGGTGGGATCACAAGTGTTATCATTTGTCTTCAGCTCTATGAAATGTGTTGCTACACATTAACTTTGGGAGGAGTCAAAAGGACAGGGAATTAATTGCATTCTGTTAATATAAGCATGTGTATAGGAAACAATTCCTTAGGCCAAGAAGTATAGAACTCTGTGTGTGCCTAATGTGCTTCCCATAACTATGGGCAAAATGCTGCCATTGCTGGATTATCTTCAGCTTTAAGAATCTGTCTGGGAAATGAAAAGGTACAGCAGACTCCACTGCTTCTAAAAGGACAGGGAATTAATTGCATTCTGTTAATATAAGCATGTGTATAGGAAACAATTCCTTAGGCCAAGAAGTATAGAACTCTGTGTGTGCCTAATGTGCTTCCCATAACTATGGGCAAAATGCTGCCATTGCTGGATTATCTTCAGCTTTAAGAATCTGTCTGGGAAATGAAAAGGTACAGCAGACTCCACTGCTTCTGTTGGGGGCGTCGTGTCCTCTGCCACTATTGCATCCCCATTCCTGAGCACAGTGCTGAAGGCGTGCCAGGCTGCAATAGGTTATCAACCCAAGAAATAAAATGGAATAACAGGTCAGGTCACAGAGTGCATTCGCTCCCCTGTTGGGCCATAGTGGCCATCTAGTATGCTGCAGGAAACAGGGAACACTCTCTCCCCACCTGAGAAACTGAAGGTGTCTCAAAGGAGGTGACAGGAAGCAACAAGAGCCCAGCAGATCAGCTCCACGTCCTCCTTCCATGTCAGCTCCTCTACTTCTCTCTCCTTGGGCAACCCCCTGGGAAGGGAACAAGTGGGGTGAAGAATCCCGGGAGCTACCCCTTGCCAGTCTGTAAGATGTATAAGGTGGGAGGGAACTGATGTGACCTCTAATCTTCCCCATCATGTGTGGATTTTTTCCAGCCATGTGCAGAATAAAAAGTTTATGTGCACTGAGGCATGTGTAAATGTGCACCACAGAAACACAAAATCTAGCTGTGGGTGCTCTGCTAATCCACTGGGTATCATCTGGATTTCTCCTGAGCAGCACAAGCGTACAGGTCTGGGAAAGGAGGAGAAGAACCCCAGAAAGAACAGAGATGAGGCTGGAGTGGGTGCTCAGAATATATTTATGTGGGAGTGGTAAGGCAGAACAGAGAAGAGGGAAGAATTGACAGGGGCTGGGGGCTAGACTGATGTGATGTGGCTTTCATTTCTGTAGACAATGATAAACCTTTCCCTCAACCACATGCCTACTTTTGTTTGACCACTTTCATTACTACCTGAGCAATTCCTTTACAGCCAGGACAACAAACTTTGGTTGTTGCCCCAGGCCAATAAAAATGTTGATGCAAATTACAAGAGGATGATGATTTGGGAATGTAAATATTGTTTAGCTGAATACTTGAATTTTGCGTGGCAATCTGAACTTTAATATAAAAGAGCATTAGGGCCTGCTGGATCTGGGCCCAATCTAAAGCCCATGAAAGTCAATGGAATGAGAGCTGTGTGTGGATTTCAGTGAGTTTCAGATCAGGCCTCATGGTAGCACAAGGAGAGAAAGTACAGCCTGTGCAGTGTCGGATGGAGGTTTGGGAGTTCAAATTTTTCCTGGCAGAAGATTTACTTTGTGCATTAATTTTTCTGACCAGTCTGTTGGTATTGAATATCCTCTATGATTCTTTTTCTCCTGATCCTGTGAAATTTCTACTAATGTTAGCAGCAGCAGCAGCCTTTTACTGGTGAAGTGGTAAATGTATATGCTCATTCAGGTGGGATCTCATTCTAGCCCCACCACACAGAAGGAAATCAAGAGTGGACCCCTCTCTTAAGTGCACTGAATAAAACATGACAAACACACACACTTTGGGGGAGAAAGAGAGAAATGGACAAAAAATAAAAATAAGGGGCTTTTAGCAGGGCCAATTACTGATGCCCTGAGTAACAACTGAGTAAAAGTAATTTGTTCAGTCTTGAGAAAGGACTGAAACATTGATGGCATGAAGATTCAACCTTATCATTTAAGTGCAATTGCTCACAGCTCATCCACAGAGTGTTGCCTTGAATTGTCTGCATGATAATAACATGTTATAATATATTCAGGATCTGAGTCAATGCCCACTGAAATCACTAAGAGTCTTTCTGAAGACTTCAATTGAGAGAGCATCAGGTTTATAACAAGACATAATAATTATAATAATATTGTGCATACTTTAGGTGTTAATTTATGGAACCAAGATTTGAATCTATAGCAATTTAAAAGAACTGTGCAACAAGTGATCATGAACCATTGCAAATGATGGCATTTGGAGGTAAAACTGAGGCCCAATCACATATAAAACTTAGGCTGACATAGTGAGGAATGTAAAAATCCACCTCTCTGAGTGCCATATGCTAATCTAACCCCACTGTAGATGCAATCAAGTCAATGGAAATGCTTCGATTGACCTAGCAACTTTGCTCAGAGTGGTGGAGTTCCTACAGTGACAGAAGAGATCCTCTGATCCCTATCGTTGGCGTTTACACTATGGGGTTACTTACAACAGCATAGAGATGTCAAACTGCAGCCATAGAGCCAATAGCACAGATGTGGCCTCTGAATCTCTCAGGCACTTTGGTTAATGCCTTCCCCCTAGTAATATTAAGATGGCAATTCTGAACTAGGAATTCTAATATATTTAAGACAGTTAAGATGTTCTGGTAAAGAACGAAGCAAATGCTCCATAGAATACAAGGAGGAAGTATATTGGTAAAAAATTGAAAAATTACCTTTATTGATTCAGTAAATAAGAGCTAAAGAAGACCGCAACAAAAAAACAAAAACAAAACCAACAACCCCATACGCAATATATCTGTCCAACAGGTAAACATTAGTTAAGCTGATTTCATAAATATTAGTCAGCTTGGCTCTCTCTGAGGGAGGGAATAGGATCAATCAGATAATGCCTCTAGGAACATTCCCCTGCACATTCAATAGTGCTTTGAGAATTCCAGATACTGCAATAACATTCTATGTTGGGGTGGGCAAAATACGGCCTGACAGATCTGACCCACCTCAGTCTCACAGCCCATCGAGAGCCTTGGGTAAGCTCCCTGCCTGTTGCGCCCCTTCACATCACTCAAAGCAGCCAGCTGCAGGGGTCATGGTGCATTTCTCTGTGCCATGCGCTATAGAGGGGCCCTCCATGCATTGCCTGCCCCACAGTCACAACCCAGGCAGCTCCCAATGGCTGGAAACTGTCCAATGGGAGCAGTGAGACTGTGATGGGAATGCATGTGGCCCCAGTAGCTAAATGCTTTAAGTGACGTGTGGGTGCATGGCAGGTAGGAAGGCTTCCTGAGATTCCTGATGAGCTGCTGGCCAGGAGCTGTACCCCACCTCCTCCCACAGCCTAACTCCCTGACCAAGGTCACAGACCAAATCCTCTCTCCCCTCCTGCACTCCTGCCCCAGGCCACAATCCAAAACTTCTATACCCCCACTCCTGCATCCATACCCCCTTTCCAGATCCTACTCCCCCTCCTTTACTCCAATCCCCTACCCCGGATCACAACCCACTCCTTCATCCAAACTTCCTCCCAGATCCCACACTCCCTCCTGCA